AGGGGCAGGCTCAGGGTGCAAAATCAGTGGGGGAAGAGAGCAGGGTCCAGCCGCAAATACCACCTTTCCTCCTCTCAACAAAAATCCCGGCACGGGAGACATCCCTTGAATGGGGAAACTGATTCCCCCTTTTCCAAGCAAATAACCCAAAGGTGAAGTAAAATGGGTTTTTATCACGTTTCTTGGGTAAAAGCTTCTGGATTCATCTTGCTCCTGGCTGGATGGAGCAAAGCCATAAGATCTGCCTGCAGCAGCTGGCAAGGAAACCGTATGTAGAAGTAGTCATGGAGAGGTGAAGCAGTATTATAATAAGTTTGTGTCTTGTCTATATGGGGTTTGCTAGGCATAAAAGGACCTTTTCTTGCCTTGGCATTTTAAAGCTTTGATAGAAACCTAAAATAAATGAGAGTGTTCAATGGAGAGAGGCAAATCAAATGAAGCGATGCTCTGATTTAGGATAAAAGCAGTACCTTCCTTTTCTAATGGTGCGGGGTTCTTGATTCTGTGACCATGATAACTTGGTAGTTTTGTTAAAAATTTGGTTAAAAATGAGGATGAAATAGGAAATGCACTTGGACAGTTTGTACCTCTGAAGGTCCTAATTTCAATACAAACATCTGAATAAAATGCAACTTCCCCCCTTTTTTTTCTTTTCTTTTTAGCATAATTGTCATTATTATCAGCAAGCCATCTAAGGGTCAAACCCCTGAAAATGATTGAGTTCCAGAACAATTATTTCTATTAAGTGTGATTGTTGTTTTTTTTTTAATAGTGCTAAAAATACTGCCTTAATTTGCTGCAGTCATTCACACTTTCAAACAGCAACCATAGAAGGGGAGTTTTCCCCCTGTGAGGGTGGATTTGCTAATTGATTAATGGCTCAGGGAACAAAGAAGGAGAGAAAGTAATCATGTTTCCCCAGGTCCCATGACAGCAGCTCTCCCCCCTTACCTTTAATGATAAAAAAAAGTAGCCCAGCACACCAGCACTGCTGCAAGGACTGAGGCTGACACCTGGAATAAGGGGAAAGTGATTAAATCCCACCAGTTTCAGAAATAAAACATCCCTCCATGACTTGTATCCTGGAAATAGTCTGGATGCACTGATGGATATGGACCCTTGGGTGGCAGAGGTGGGAAAGTGTCCTGTCCAAAAAGGTGTTTAGATGTCCTCAGGCCAAGGGAGATAGGAGAGAAGGGGGGAGAGAAGAGGTGCTTGGAAAATTGGGGGCTGGAAAACCTGTTTTACTGTCCTTGGGATTTGTTGTGTTGGGATTTATACCTCTTAAAAAAGAGAGGTATGATTTTTGTTTCCATCCCAGGGAAACCCAACTGATGGAGGAAAACTCTGTAGCAACAAGGCTTATAAATTAGCTGTGAATGACTTTGGGCTGGTAATTAGTAGGAGGGACCTAATTTCTAAGAGTGGCGCTATAAAACTGGATCTGGGTGGTGTGTTGGGTCATCCATGTGCACGTCCAAGCCCTGAATGTGCAGTGTTGTCTAGCCCCAGCCTCCAATGCTCCTCCTGAATCAGGAGTGGAGACTTGCAGAGTAACTCAGGCTGGAGGTACCCTGGGGTGGGGGTCTCCAGCCGGACCCTGCTTCCAGCAGGACCAATGCCTGAGGGCCATGGTCCCGGCAAGTCCAGGACATCCCCGGGGATGGGGAACCTCCACCGCTTGCACGGGGAAGGACTGTTTCGTTGAGGCTGGCTGGGCTTTCTTCAAAGGCAGCAGTGTGTGGAAGCACTGGACACAGATTAAGGCCAAATCATCATTAACACATGGGAGAGAACGGCAACTGATTTTTCTGACACTTTCAAAAAATGTGTGGAAGTCTCCAACACCAGATTTCACAGCGGCTCTGATTAATACCTTGTGCAACCTTGAATGCTCTTGCTCCCTTATTCCTAGTGGATTGCTTGAGCATATCCTGGAGTACACCAATGTCTAGACATGCTGGTCTAGAGCCTAAAGAATTTGCAGGATGCCTTACGAGAAGAGCCCAGAAGAGCTCGCCTGGTTTTATCTAATAAGGCAGAAGCCGAAGAGGAATATTGCTCCTGCATCAGCCAGGGAGATGCTCTATTCCCGTCCATCCCCCAGCCCCATGGCTTGTGCTCGCTGCTCAGCATGAAACCATCACCTGGAGTGAGATGTTACTGGAAATTACTCCTCCCCAGCAGAGAGGTACAGAGGCATATGGCATTTAAGGCTCCACATGCAAATGCATTCAAAGCAGCAGTCACTGAGACACCCAGCCCACAGGGAAGTGCAGCATGAAATAGTGCAGTTTGCGGGGGGGGAGAAAAAAAAGGTTTTTACACTACTCATCTATCTAGGTCGCGGCTGGGGACAGACTGGAAACCTCAGCCGGTATGGAAAGCCGCCGAGGTTTGCCTGGCTGCAGTCCAGCCACTTTCCCAGCATGGAGAGGAGACGCTGCCGGCACAGGGCGATGTGCCTGCTGGCTGCAGGCAGCCCACTGCCTGCCTCTGCGCTCCGACACCCAGGGCAGCCTCCCTGTCAGGAAGCAGGTCACTGCAGCACCGATATACCTGACAGAGAAGAAAAAAATTACTAAATCCGAGGCAGTGAATATTACAGATATCTGCATAGCGTAGCCGTCCCTTTTCGTCCCCACCTCTGTCCCAGCCTTCAGGTACATGAGGATGGGCTCAAGTCCAGATATAAGGGCTAACAGAGACTTGTGGAGCACTGTGCAAATTTGCACCAAGTGCTGCATTTTCATCACTCAAACCCCTGATGAAACCAGGATGCAGCAAAAGCAAAATATAAGGGGCCAAATTTGCAGTACGCTGGAGCTTTCCTCTATAGGGTGCATATAGGGTGTTTCTTCCCAGGCAGGGGAGGATGCAAAACCAATTTGGATTTTAATTGGGGTTTTTTTTGAACAACCAGTTTTTCTATCTTAAGCAGCCTAGGAAAGCGTCCGACTCGTTTTTGCACAGCAGTGTGCAAATCCTGCCCTGTGCCGTGCTGAACCCCAGCTCTGGATGAGACGGCAGGCACAGAAACTGCAAGCATTGACGGGGTTTTGCTGCCACCTTCAGCAAGGGCAAAACAAAGCAACGATTGGGGTCCAGTTGCTGCAGAAAACATTCATTTTGGAATTAGAGACAGGAGAGAGCTATTGCATTCCACAGTCCATCTCCCAGCCCCTGCACATAATTAAAACACTGGAGAATCTGGGAGCATGGCAAAAAAAAAAAATCAGGAGGGTCTCACAAAACTCAGCAATAAATAGCTCCAAAATCTGACATTACAGAGATGTCTCTATTTCCAAGTATTTAAGTCGCGGTCTGTGGAGCTCAGTGTGGCAGAGCCCAAGTGCCACAAGGCTGAGATCCTCCAAACACGTGGGCCCGTGCCCCATTTTTGGTGCTGAGAATAATCCATCTATTTAAACTTAAAGCACCTGTTTAAGTCTTCCAGGATACAAAGTTATAGGAGCACAGAGCAAGTAATGTCCAAAGGTGAAGTGGCCAGCCTCAAACCTTAGCTCTTCCGTCAATGAACCCGAAAAGTGGCATGTGCTAATAAAAGATTTTGGTGTTAAACAGCCAGTTATTGGAAAAGGCTTCTTCTGTTATTTCCATAGCATTGTAGCGTGCTCAGAAAATTGGCCATAGACAGATATGTTGCATTTCTTTATGTGCAATGCTCATGTTATGTGCACCAAGAGACCTGCTGTACAGGGGGATTGTTTAGGGTCCTCTCCTCAAAATTTGGCATTAGCTCAGGACGCAGCCACAGCAATCCATCCTCTTTCCACCTTTCTCTTTCCCCCCTCTACTCTTCTGGATTTCCCTTCTCCCCTGCCCAGCATCCCCACCACTATCCCATGCTTTTCCCCCTCCCTGTGCCATGGGGGGTCCCAGGGTGCCCTGCACCCTCATCCCCAGTACACCCACCCTGGCCCCTTTTGGCTCTGTTTGCTCTCCAAGCAAGCTGGGAGTTATCATCGCCTTTTGTTGCCTCCACCTTTGTACAATTGAAAGCAATTTAAGGCAATAACAACCATTTTGGATGACACGATTTAGTGATTTCCTACTATGAAGTTCTTGATCCTACCAGCCCACAGCACATGCCCTGGCTATGAGGACCCAAGGACGCAACTGATTTTGCTCTTGCTGGTGTTCAGCATCAGCCCATCATTGTAAGTCCTCAAGGTCAATGTTGCACCTGCAGACCCTGTTTCTATGCCTGGCTTATACAAATGGTTTTTGCACAAGCTCAAAGCTCAGCATGCAGGAAAAACGGGGCAGCCTGAAATTATAGGTAGCAAGTCCATCTTATAAATGCCCCTTCGCCAGCGTGTAAGCCAATTCAGATTCAGATTTCAGCTTTATGGTGTTTTCAACCCAAAACCAAAACTTAAAAAAAAAAAAATCTTTACTTACATATGACCTAAAACTACAGCTCTGAATCAAAACATCTGAACCCAAGGTTGTTCTGGCCCTGAGCCTAGATACAGATCTGAAGTTCTCCCATGTTCTTGATTTTTTAAAACAGGCCAAATCTGGACCTAGGTCTTACTTCTCATAAAGTGCCGGGCATGGCTTGTACAAGGTTCCCTTTGCAGCATCAGTGGGATGCAATGGCATGGAGGACTGATCGTCATGTACTCAGCACAGGATTAGGCATCTTACATGTTTTCCCCCTAAGACACATGCACTGATATGTTACAGAGATGCATCTCTGCATCTCACTGGAGTGCTGTCCAAAATCTGACTGTGGGTTTAAATGCTATTTATTTTCGTGTAACATGAAGGGGGTATTTTTGCTTTTTCCATGGTCTGTGGTGTTCTGTTTTGTTTTTATCTCAAAATAACTGATTTAGGAAGAAAGATCCTGTTAACTTTCTCAGGAGGGTGGACTTTCTCCTCCTAGTCATATTAATTTATTTAATTTATCTTAAATTTGATTGCAGTGAGCACCCCTAATTAACCTGATTTTTTGCTGATAATCACTCACAATGGAATCAAATCACAAATCCGGGGATGGATTGACCGGCACACAGAAAGAAGCCGCCCTCCGTGCGTTAATTCAGCGAACGGGATATAATTTGATCCAGGTAGGAACTCACGGTCATGTCCTTTTGTGCACAGTGTCTGGCTTTATTCTGAAGCGATGCATTGCATCGGGGTCTTGAGCAGCGATTCTGCACGCATGAAGTGCTCCTTGCTCATTCTTCTTCTCCTTGTTTTTCTCTAGCATATGTGCTGCACATAACTACATGTAATAGATACTGTCTTTTATGGACCAGGATCTTATTCCTCCAGGAATTCTTTGCCTGATGCCAAATTATGATAAGGGTGGAAAAAAACCCCTAAGCACTGCTAAATGTTGGGAAAGGTTGGGATTGCTGTCTCAAAGCCATGGCTGCAGTGGTAGTGTAGCAAAGAAAACCCACTAAAACAAGGTTTCAGAAGAGTGTAGGTCCAGACTTGGCCATAGGAAGTCCAACACATCACCACCAGATCTGCCTTTTGTACAGATTCTTGCACACGTACAAGTGCACGTGAGGCAAGTGCCTCACCTGCCCAAACACCAAAGGTTTGCTCCCAGTTTATTCTTCAAGGCCTCCAAGTGCAAAGCCTCCTCTGATTAGGGCAGGTGGAGACTGGGCATGTCCTTCAAAAGCCAGCTGAAGAAGTCTTTCTCAGTTAGCATGACCAAAACAAGCTAATTTTTCAAAAGTGTTGGACACTAATATGACCGACCTTCCATCCTGGAAGAAGTAACTGAAAACACTGAATTTTAGGCAGGCGGCTGCCTTGAACTTTGCCTTGCTTTGCATAGCACTAGAGGGCACAACAACCTAAAGCAAAAACTGAGACTCCTGGGAAAAAGAATTTTCCTATAGCCCTTAATCCTGTGTGTGCCCCAGGATCAGGCCAGCAGCTGGGTTTGTTGCTCTTGAGGAGGCTTTCTGCTGTACCTGACCCAGAAGATAAATAACTTCTCTATGTCTTATATTTACTGTGGCTTGCTTTATCCTGGTCTTCAGTTTTTCATAGTGTCACATCTGGCTATAGCTCATT